AATGTTTTCACACGCAAGCGATCCTCCAGTTACTGACCTAAGTTGGTTCAATGATCGATTCTGTTTGTTCTAATATATTATTATCTGATTTATCATGTTTACGCATCATAATTACAACTTTTTATTGATATGTATCGGACTATCGTATTCCAAGTGGCCCAAGAACTAGGCGTGATCTTATTGTCTTTTAACTTGATTAATGTGTAGGCATGTCGTTCAGTTGAAAAGCACAATCCTTAGAGAATTATGTATGATAGCCGATACACAAACGTTTTTAATTACAGCCATAATCTGAGCTAAAATGCGCTAAAAAGTTTAAAGACCATTATGTTTTAGTTTCTTCCTGCATAAAACCGTTTTAAGTTGACGTTACATTGAAAATTCTCAAAATTTTAGGGAAACGATGAGAATAAGTAAAACACCGTCTAATGGACTTTTATCTCGAGCACCGGCGAGAGTGCGAGATCGAGCGCATGTTATGATTACAATTAAAAAGGAACGAAGTTGTGGAATTCCACGTCACCCTCCTGGGGCCATCGTTGTTACTCCGTGTGAGGTTAATGACGATACTGATCACTAACCACTACAAGAGGCGCGATGAACGGCGACCAACGAAATGAAGCTCGCAGGCTGCGACAGCGAAGAAATCTAAGGCGGTACCTGAGTAGGACGCGGCGCTTCGCGGCCATGCCACCAACAAGGAACAAAGCCCACTACTCAGTACAACAGCCGTCGCCGCCGCCATCATCGCCACGGCCAATACAGAGCAGCAAAGGTTAAAGAAACGACCGGGCAGGCAAACGGCGATAGAAGCACTTCATATACATGTACAGCGGCAGATAGATACGCAAAGTGAGCATATACAAACGTTTTCTCAACTGACCACTACACAGATAGAGTCAACAAAGAGACATCTAGCAAGCACCTCATCACATCTTACCTGTATACGTACAGCTTCGCGCGAGAGAACTATATTAGATTTGTTATCACTATTATGATTATCAGCGTCGGGATGATCGCAGAACTAGAACGATTATTAAGCGCCGTTGCTGCTTCTATTGATATCACCTCCAGTACTAAGCCACGTTCATAATAGTCCAAAGGAAAATATTTTCGTTTTCAGAATGATTATTACCCAGTAAGAGAGCAGCCTGCAATCAGTGATCCGGCGAATCATTGATGTGACAACCTGAGTATTGGCCCTTTGCTGACTGGCAAGAGATCAGGCGGTCGTCAGAGTCCATTGAGATTACTACCCCATTGGACAGGTCCGCAGCTGTTGCTGATGTAGCTGAGGCGTGGAAATCGCGGCGGCGAGAAGTTCGGTCACCGAGCAACGAAATATTCCCGGGCAAAACGGCAGTAGAGGCATAGGGCAGGAAACCAGTGGGGCTGGGGCAACATGGGACGAAGCACATCGACTTGCGAAAGGGGTGTTTCATCTGAGAATATCTCAATGATACAAGATCACTACTTTAGTGACGATCAGCAGTTTTAGAGTTGGTTAAGGGCTCCGTTGCAAACAGCCTGCCTAACCGGTGGTCGAGACCCGCCCTAAACACGCACCTCGACAAAAACGCACGATTCAACTCTCGCTCAATCATCAGTTTGTGCCTCCTCTTGCTGAAGAATCGAGCCAGTAACTGTTGAAGTAAGTTGCCTTGGCCTGCAAGTGACTCCGACTGAAGCAGTGGCGACCGGATGTGCAAACGCGTTTTTCTTCATTCGTCCCCATTGATCGGCCGATGTGTTTGTGCGTATCTAGAGAAATCGGTGAAAAAAGGGCGTTATGCACGTAAGCGGCATTTTTCAATGGACTCTTCTTCTCGCATTGTGGTCCTATCTTAGATGTCGGCATTTCAGTCTCCGCTAAGTTGAATACTTAACGGAATGGCCATTGCGGCGATGATCACAATAAAAGTGGCGGTGTCGACTTTCGTCGTCTGTCCTGCGACCTTCATTCCGATTAGACCAGTTGCTACTGAAAGAGGTGTCGATTCATTTGTTCATAAAAGTGTGAGTGTGCACCAGGCTCTATTCCTGACTAACTGCCGGCCAGCTCAGGGAATCGCATCGCAAGCGAGCCCTCCTCTCGCCTGAATTTGTTCGAAGGTGACCGATTAGTTATTATTATTCCCGTCTATATCGTCTCTTCGTCTCAGGTGTGGTCTTAATAGGAACTGGGCTTCTTTGAGAATACCTTCAGCTAATAATCCGGATAATAATGAGGTTGCGAGTAGCGCCTACTCTATCTCAATTATGCTTATAAGGCCTAGATTATGCTAAATGACTCAATAATGAATTGGGAACATCTCTGTTATTATATATTCTGCGAAGTGTACAAAAGTCTTCAGAAGTTGCTGTATTTGCAGCGTTTTTCTATCATTTTAACTCTTTTAATCTTGTATTTTTCTGTTATTGACGAAACTGCTGACGATGATTTTTAGCTGAGCAATTTCAGCTAGAATTATCACTCTACTGTTCTCGACATGACTCTTCGTAAATTCGTTCGCTGCTTTATTAAAATGAATAGTGCTCCTAAGCAGATAGTAAACGTAGTACAAATGTTTCTAGCCGTTGTCAATCAGAGTTTCAGTCTTCTTCCTCTATGCTGGTCCAGGCGGCAGTTCAACTTTTCTTAAACCTATTACAAAGACTCTACAGATTTGATCTGGAAATTGTAAATTTGGAAATGACGGCCGAATAGTCATCTCTTTAATTCGGGAGACCTCTAATAAAGAAACACTGAGCCAACGAGTGTTGCGTTGTCTAACACTAGGGTGGCTTAGCAATTAAATGTCTTTAGATCCTATTATTTTGATTTCGGATATTTCAAATACACCTGGCGTTAGATCCATTGTGTGTTTCAGCAAACGAATTCTAATTCGTTCTACATAATCGTTGTTTAACCGTAAAAATCAGTCGAAGAAAACTGTAGACAAATCAAATAGGCCAGGAGGTCATCTCTAAATAAACATACCACTCCATAGCACACCTTTATCGCGGTTTTACCAAATCTAGGCCAAAGCACAGGCATTCAATTGAATTAAAAATCGACGCATGTCTATGGATGACAATGGTTCTTTTCAGAATTTGGCTGTCGAAAGTGACAATCGAACCGTTTAGTTGACTATATGCGTAAGTTCGACGGCCGCTTCCAACAGTGCCGAGCTATTAGAAAGATTTCAGGTGGAATAACCACATCCACGTATCAATGAAATGTGCCTTATTTGCTTTCCTCATTAGCTATTGACGGGCTGAAGGCCTTTCACCTTATGAAGATACTGCACCTTTGACCAACTTGACACCCACTCCATCTAGTTCTTCGTCATTCTCTGATTTGCATGAGTTGTAGGTTAACGGGTTTTCCTCAATCAATTCTATAAATTGTAAAAATCACAGTTGAAAAAAATAATGTATTAGGCCCTCGGCAAAGGTCGAACAGCTGACGACAAATACACTTTACTAGGGCGTAATGATTGCCGGTGTGGCGTTGCTTCACGATGACAGCTCGCTTCAAAATACTGCCAACCACAGTTTGTTCATTTGTTTAGGAATAATCTCTTAGAATGAATGTCTCTGTGGACAAGTGTCTTGCCAACAAGCTATTGAACGAATTCATCTTAAGCATCTAGCACTGGCCAACATCCAATTTTCTAAGAAATGCACCAATTGGAAATCACGGAAAAGTGCTCACCGAACCTTTATATTCCATGTGCTTATATCTTTTTTCTGACCCCCCTGTACCGTACACGAACGCCCCTAGTAATTAAAAGGGCGACAGGAAACGGATAGTCTGCTGTTACAGGTCAACGCGTGAAACACTTTCTCAGAAATGAATGGTTAGCATTTGTGGATTCAGTTCTTTATCTATAAACCCAAATATCAATCTTCTAAATGCGTAGTCTACTTCTTGACTTTTTCCAAGTTCCGCGTGGCAAGTCTGATGAGGATCGATTCTAATGATCCATGGCGCCATTCAAGTTTAGATCTTACAGATTTCCTAGATAGAAGTGGTAAGTTCATATTTTTCAATAAACACATAAATCGGCCACAAATAAGAACATCCGTTTTCGTAATTGGAGCTGCAAATGCGCCGAGGAACACAGGACGAAGAGCTATACTCAGAAGTAAGTTGGGCGAAAGGCTACAAGTTGATACAAATTGATTTGCAGTTTAAATATTTAAAACCTACTTCGCTGCCTCTAATTGGAATTCGGCTTGTTCCTGATTTGAGCTTCATTTAATTTTCGAAGCTGACCTTTGTTTCCTATCATCCCCACGCTCTTCATTTTAAGACCAACTAGTCTTGGCCCACAAGCCAACCAGCACCTTCTCCACTCGTGGTGTCAACAAAGTTTCTTTAAGGCTCTTTTTTCTCTAGTTATTCGTACGGCTTTTAATAGCCGAATAATAATAACGTGTTGAACTCTATTTTATACTGTTTATCAATGCGACTTTTACGCAAAAACACTAGTTCCTCTGCGAAACATTAATATGTAGCAAGTTTTTAATACGGCAAATGTTATAAAGCCAATACCTAAGCTTCGTTATTCGTTAATCAAACTTTGTTAATTTCGCTTATGGCTCAAATTGGCCAAAGAGATGACTAAACATTTATTTATGCCTGGCTCTCTTATCGCGTGTATATACTAAAATGCATCATTTAGAAGCGTCATAAGTATTTGACCTGATCCCTCTGAACAGTCGCTCAGTTTACACTCTTCTAGTGACGAACGTTTGTTTAACTTTTTCCAATCATTTACCCCTCCTTCCTATAGTTTTTTTTTGCTTTATATTTATGTCACTCCGTGACGTCGTATAGCATTTGGGCCTTTTAGCCCACCAAAGTTTTATGAGCAAATGTTGACGCCCACAAAGATGAAAGAAATTTCGCGCGTTTCATAGATTACATTAGCTACCGTTTGCCTTATATATGTCGTTAGGATCCACCCAACGTATCTGTACGGGGGGCAGACCCCCTTGTATAGCTACTGTACCTCCTAAAACGAGCTCGTTTCTTCTCTGCGACTTCAATTTGAGTATACGCTCATCTACTTATGTGTACACACATGTAGTAGACTTTACAGGACCGGGCAGCGCGAAGCACACATATAGGCAGAGAGCTGTAAATGACCACACCTTAACGACAGACGTCAGGATTGTTATTACCGTACCATTCACGTTAAACTACAGTATTATTATTATTGAGCGAAATTTAACGGCTCAGCTTTGTTATAAAATAAAAGAGCTATAATATTCAGAATATACTTCGAGTGAGCATTACAAAAGAGATAAAGATGGTACTGATGACGTTCCTTAATGACCGACGATTAAACGAGTAATTACTATTATAACAAGTTGCCTGATATATAGATAGCTTGACACCGGGATGGATGTAGTAGCGCAAATTGGAAATTGTCTATATCTTTAGTTACTTTCGGGCACCGCCATTTTACCATATATGACGTTGCCATATTCTAGAAACAGCGCCAAGCAAGGATATATTTTGTACCTGATTTTCGTACACAGCATCATTGCGTATGTAATAACTAAAAAAATATTAAGACATAAGTTATATAATAAAGTGTAAGCTAAGAAAAAAAGGAATCACACTAAACGGGTGTATCGTTATCGGCAAACAATCAAAATGTGCAATGTAACGCTAATTTCTTTTTTATGAACGGGGTACCCAAATGTCATTGTTGTGTGCCATCTTTAGCTTTCGCCACGTTTTAATCTTTGAGCAGTTTTTATCTTGCACCAATATATATACATTGCGACGTACTCGCTAGTCCCATGTGCGGCACCTGAAACGATGGACTGTCTTGGTAATCATAGGCCTCTGTAGACGGCGTGGGGCGAAGAGTTGGGAATCACATCCCAATCGATGATTAGACCACAGGCGCTTACCGAACGATAGTACATTACGACGGTTGTCTCGAAACGGCACTGACACGCATGGCTGCACATTCCTAGCCGATGCTTGCTTGTTCGTCCGTCCGTCGCCCTAAGGATCGGGGGTTTGCGAAAGGAGGAAACTATGGTGGGGTTGTTGTTGGCCGAGGGGATGGGGGACAGCAAAATTGCCGCCGCCGGTGGCTGCTGTTGTACGAATGCCTGCCGGTCGTTGTAACGGTTGTCTTGTACGCTCAGTCCACCGTTTGTAGAGCCGCCCCTTTCTCGCGCCCGTCTCACAACCGATGCAGCGTACCGTGCTTGCTTGCGGTTGTTCACGCATAGACTAATCAAATCACCTACGGCTAGCCCGACGCTTCTGTTGCATTTACTGTTAAGACTAGAGTTCCACCAGGGGGCGATATAGTCGCTGCGTTAACTAAAGCTACGTTGAGCGAACTCGGATTTTAGCGCCATCTGCCGGCCAAGGTCAATCCTGAAAATGGCGCGTAATAGTCTGAAAGCTGAAGCACCCGAGAACGGCTGGAGCAAAGAGAGGCGGCTGGTTAGGCCACCAAAGTCGCCTGAAGTCGATGAAGACATACACGACGGTAGTGGAGTTGTTTGCCGAGGGTCTTGCTCTCTCTCTGTCCAGAATGGCCGCTCCGCTGTAGCCACCCACCACCACCACCTTTAGATTAGCGGCTTTCCAAAAGCCGCCACCGATCGCGCTGCTCTTTCGCTCGTCGCTAAACTTGAAGGCTCTTCAATCGGGCCGCTTGACTCAAACTTCAACAATAAACAACTATCGTTTCGGTACTACTTTAACTACAAATACTATGGTGTTTGATCCGAAGGCGCTTAGCTAATCGATGATTGTATGAAACTTAGCGGCATTTTATGTCAGCTTAGCTCTTTGAACACTTTGACATTCGGCATTACTTCGATCACAGCCAATGCAATTGCTGACGCAATGAAATGCTTAACACGTCCGGACATTAATTGTCATGATAAAAGTTTAAATAGGCGCAGCCAGCTGCTGATGCCATAAACCATATTTTGCTTTACTGTAGGACAATTCGGTTACTTTTGCCGGTAACGATGAACCCTTAGAACTGGTTCACACACTGGTGTTATGGATAGCCTAAAGGAACTCTCTGTTGCTGTATCGCTTATTGACCCTTCAAATATTAAAAACATCAAATTTCACCCACGTTTATCAAAATCGTTTAAAAGGTCATGGAGTCAAAAGGATGTCAAAGATTTGTATGCAGTATAGAAGTTCACTATATATGTATACACGAATACATGAGCTTATGCACATACAATAATTCCGGAAAACACAGTGACACGCTCTAAAGGGCTTTCATATTTATTTGGCAGCATCCTATCCAAACTGTGCAGGGTAATAAGCGAGCATTCCCACTGTGCTCCCCGATTCCGGAAGGCTTCATTCAGTATTTGAGGGGAGGGGAGAGGGGGTAAAATGTGTTAGGGGCCTTTTACGTTGGCTGTAAACGAAACATTGTAGCCCTCTGCGTCAACTGTGATGTTACCATGATGAATAACTTCACATTAGCCACTCTGAAACTTCCTTTACTATTTCAAAGAGGAAATGGATTATTAACGTAAAGCAGCCGTATCTGTGTCCGATTACTGTCAAAAGATGTTTACTAACGTTATCGCAGGGCTCACACTAACCAATAGCACAGTATGCATGTATTAGGCCATATTTTTTTGTGTTTTGGATAACCTGATGTTGGTTTTTCAGAGAGGAACGGGATTTCGCATACGATGCATTTGCCGATGCGATGACACAAGGATGTTTTCTTTGCTTAAACTAACGGTAAACTGTAACCTAAGAATAGCGTCTCGAAGGCTGCTGATTATCGGTTACGCGCTAAGGAACCGGTACGCTTCTGCAGTGCATCTAGAAAGTCTCGATTAAAACAATTAAATAATATAGTTGAACGACATGGCAAATTGAACCATACAACGAAGCAGTGTATGGTAAACACGCAATGATTTTGAAACTACAATACGCTACGAGGCATATTTTCGAACAGGGAGTTAAACGAACAAATCCGTCAGACGAATAGTGCGCGTTAACGGCTGCGTCTGCATCTGATTCACCACATTCGGCTACGGTTGATCTATTCTCTTAAGCATGTTTAATTTGCGGTTATGTCTTGTGGTCAGATCGCTCGAGAGGCTAATTCCGGCGCCAGCATCAGCAGTGTCAGACGACGTAGCATTTCGTCTGCGACCGCAGTTTCGAATCGTCCTTGTACCATTTATTTTTGCAATATTATTAATCTGTCTCAATGGAGCAATTTCGTGGAAGAAACCATGGCTTCGGTTATTGAATGGAGCTTGATATTTGCCATCATCTTCGTTATCGCCATCGTTGTTACGGTGGCGGGCTGGGCGGCCGACAAATGACTAATTCAACCGGTTTGGGCCACTGTATATAAATAGTATTGTTATATCTACCATCAACATAGGTACTCATACAATTATCACTGAAGAGGTCAGCACAAACATAAAAAATGTTTCGAGCCGCTTACCAAATAGTTACTTTATGTTAATAATAAATCCTTAATTCCGTTGTCCTTTTTTCTTTCATTGATCCTGTGTCACATTCGCAGACTTTCGCTTCGCGTGTACCGCTCCACTGTCGACCAGTATCAGCTCATCCCCGTGCCACGGACGCCTGACCAGATCCACTGAATAGTACGAAGGTAAACATGACGGCGAGGGTTCTGTCAGTGAGAGGGAGGGCGACAACAGAGGAAATAAAGAGAAAAACTTCCTTTGAAGTCGTTCTGCCTAGAAGCTATAACTGCTAGCAATGACTCGACTATAATTCCTATTTGTTTCAGTGTGTCGTCGTCCGTCCGTCCGTCCGTCCGTCCGCTCACTCGCATGACTCCATCTCAAGCTCGTTGCCGTTTGTCGACTCATAGCTTTCATCTCTTAACCCGAACACTCTTGATGGGCGCTCTCAAGAATATCAGTGCCGCCGCCGTCGCCGCCATCGCCGCCGCCGTCGCCGTTGCGACTGTTCGGCGCTGCCATTCGTACGACGACGATACTTTCACGTTTCGACAGTTTTTTCTCCTTTGTTTTTGACTGCCAGTAGCCTGTCTGCACAAGCGGAACGGAAGGCGTTATTTGTGTGCCGTTCATGTGAGCAATGTGAGAGTGTCTATCCCAGTCATATCTTGCCACTTCAGCACTGGAGCTCTCTAAGGTACAACCGGTCCGCGCAAAATACTTGAGCAGCTGCCGAGACCATTGAGCTGAAAGGACGACACCAGGCTCAGCAGCGGAGTGTCGTCCTTAAACAATAGCACGCCAAGGGTACAACCAACACACTACCCGTCGGCGTTAGAAGAAGATAAACGGGGCGGGGGTAACGGGGATGGGGCCGCTGTGTTGGGTAACAGACTCTTCCTCTCAAATATAAGTTTCACTCTCTCCCCCCTCGACTTTTGGCCTTACCACAGTGCCATTGGCCTCGCGGTCTTCTTTTCCCCATTCCATCGATAAATGGCAGCAGCCTTTTCGTATCATTTTGGGCATTCATCGCAATAGCAGCAATAACAACCCAGTCATCGGAGTCAAGGTTCAAGACGAATTGTTTTAAGCTGTTTTTGTATCTTGTTATTATGTATGACCTAACACCAACTCAATCATTCCGGAGTAGGCACCATCATTATGGCCGATTTGTCGTGGCCAGTCGGCCAGATCCGTACACCAGATCTCGAGCGAATTGACGTTGCTGTGCAAGAATGTTGGAGAATGTCGTATGCTTATTTAAATAGCGACGTCACCAGACAGCGGACGAACGAGTGAGCGCATTGTGTAACGTAGCTTCCAGCCAACGATCTGCGGTCACTTCAACAGGGCAAGTGAGTAATTGCTGGCTGGCCGGCTGTCTGTTTGTCTGAACGACTAACGTGGAGAAAGAAAGGTTGAAAGAGAGAAAAAGGTAGAATAGAAGTGCTATAGGAAGGTATAAAGATGTGCGTCGAATGCGAGCCGTGCACGAAATGGGTCGCAATATGGAACCACTAAGACCTACATATTGATTTCTTTTACGAACGTTGCATTTGCGCGGCGCTTGCTGGTGCTGGTCAACAATACGATCGTGGCCATTTGCAGCTGTAGATACCAATGAACGCGTGTGTTACGCAATAAATAGCAACGATAACAAACGTCACTGCTGCGTTCATCAATAGGCACTTAGCTAGGATAAATGACGTTTTGCTGATTCGAAACAGTGCCGCGTTCGAGGAGTTCGATACTGCTTCTCGACAGGCACGCGCCTATTTTGTCTCCCATTCATTATGTTGTCCAGCTACGCTGTCATTCAACCTAGCCAATCAACAGCTTTGTCAGTTAACGTATCTTCGTTTGAATGTGCGCCAGCTTCACCTATACGACGATCGAATCGATATGCAATACCCTCAATAAGAGCAACAGGTATCATACGATAATGTTTCCTGAATTAGCCGTTGCTGAATTAGGTTCATGTGCCAGTCTTCGGGCCTTAACTGCAACTGTTGCATTGAACACGTTTCCTGTAAGATGAATTCGAGCGTACGTCGTTAACACCAACGTTCTCCTACCTCCTCCGCCTCATCATTACCGTCCTCACGTCAATAATGGAAGCAATGAATTGTGCTGCGTGCGCTCGTGTCTCTCCTATCTCCCATTGTCGCTGCGGCCTGTTTGAGGTTCGGCGTCCGTCCGTTCGTTCGATGTGTGTTCGTTCGGAGTGTTGTGTTGTGCGGTGCGAAGACCTTCGCCTGTGCTTTTTGTTGATTTGGTCGTCGCCATCGCCGCCGTTGCCGTCGTCGTCGTGGTCGTGGTCCGCTCTGCCGCGTCCGGGGTCTTCAGCTCCGCCTTCTGGAGGTTGAGGCTCCGCCTCTCCCCTCACCCTCTCTGTGGTCGACGCCAGCAGGGTGGCACTGTGGCAGGGCCGATATCTCGAGCGGGCAGACTTCTCAACGACCAGAAGGCCAAGCGCTTGCTCGAGGTCGATACGTGCATGCGTTCTTTGATTCTGCCGGTGATCGCAAATTTGACGTTGTGCGTGAGTTTTCGATCGAGTTAACGGGGAGACAGCGTTGCGGTGCTCATGAGATGTCAAAAGAAGAGCTAGGGACTAAAGAAGCCCTGCATAACCTCTCCCGTTCAGACCGTTCAAGTGACATAATCGAACTGACCCCACCTGACTACCCAGAGATTCGACGGTAGTTCTGGCTAGTCGCAACGCTTGTCGTTTCCGTTAGTCTCCGCGGCAACAGCGAAGACAGAGGAACATCGTTGCCGCATTTGTGTTTTGACAACGGAAGAACGCTGTACAACTAGGGCAATTTGTTTCGTCGCGCATAGTGTGAGCCGTATTCGGCTTTGGTGTTATTGGCACACGTGCTTGTGAGAGGGCTGCTTGACCACCATGATGATGCAACGCAGTTTTGCGGCCTCTGTTCTCTGGATTTTAACGATCCTCGTTTTTAACACAATGGCGTGGTGAGTGTGAAACATTCTATCGTAGATTTCGAATTTGACCCGTGTTAGGTATCGCTAAGAAGTTATCAAACATCGTTAGAAGTACAATATACTTCGAGCAGAGAAACGAGCTCACGTCTGATGTATTCAATGCTTAGCTATAGAGCTGGTTGATTTTTCCTAAGGGTTCGTAAAATGAGGGTCGCTCTATAGAAGCGGCAGGAGTATAGTGTAAAGATTGATTGGCTTGCAAAGGCTATGTGCTCCATTTGTATAACAAGCGCTCACACGCTTAATTCACAGGATATTCTACTACGTCACTTCCGTCATATACTACGGCAAACTAAGTAGACGTTAAGTTTATACAAAGTAAGCTGCACAGAATTGATCGAAACTATTTGTATTATGCAATCAAAAGCAAGTGGCGAGATAGTCCGGTGCTGGCTATACCATCTGTCGATATATTCAGTACAGATATATTGCACTCCTTAAACTTTCCTAATATATCTAGTATCGAAAAATGCTGGTCGATGTACTTCAAAAGTGTTCTTGATAAGGGCGAACTTTGAGAGTTTTTATGCATGTCGGGTTTAACTTATTAGGAGTATCAGTCCCGTCTCGTTACTTCTAAGTACAAGTGCCTGTGATTCTGCGCATTCATCAACCAGCTGCAAGATAACTGTCCGTTGCGTACGTTGTCTACATCTTGCCACAAAGTTTTATGGCCTTGAAAAAACTTCAAATCCTAATTTCAGCGACGGCCTTTGCTACAAAACGCTCCGCGTGTATTTCCATCTAATGCTCATATCACCACGCAGCTGCTCTGTTTACATTTGCTCCGAGCAATCGCATCCTAAACGTTGCACACGGCCCGTTCAATACGTCCGTGTTCCAGCTTCCTACTTTGTTCGAACTGAAAACTTATGAAATAAAAATAGGCACCACCAAATTGTAAAGCTAGACAATAACTTCTTTCGCCTACACGACGAACCGTCTTAGTCAGCTGACTACATCAGAAATTTGGTCCTTACGTATTAATAGTTTTCACAGAGATTGATCAATTTATTTACGTTTTGTTAGATTTGCTTGTCCCATGTCGCAAGTGGCGACACAGCAGTAAGACAGTCACTCAATCTATAGCATTTGAACTTAACCAGCGCAGCTGTAGGTGAAAAGGTAGATATAGCTTGGTAACGAAAAAGGTGTACGTATGACGGCTTTCTGCTTACGTATGTCAGGCTTACGTGTCTCACTTTTACACAGACAGCACACCCATCTTATTTTTTTGCTATCTTTTTTTCCTTTTCTCGATCGGCTCATCAGGCCATTTCACCGCCTTTACCTTACGAAGAGAAGCGGGATTGTCACCTTACCCAGTCTGCCTTAATTTGCCGTCCTCTTTTAGGATCTTAGTTTCAACTCATCCATCTATATATCGATTTGGCTGTCTATCCTGTCATTTTTGAATGCCTATTGGCGCGGTTGCGTCCCACCGCGATGGTTGCAGTTTTGTTCCTTAACAAATGCGAAGCCCTTTCAATAGGACGCATTTGGGCCTTTAGCCTTTAAACGCCAACCGCCCAACGCAGTATTCACTGTTTGCGAGAACGAATATGTAGAATTTAAAGGTGACCAAGCAAAAGCCCATTTAAACGAAGTGCCCCAGTGGTGGCAACCATGGGCCCGAGATGTAGTAGTATCCGACTATTATTATTAGTGACAGGATAAGATCGAGAGAGCAGACAGGACAAGAAGGAAAAAAGGACGAAAGAAAAGATCCTAAACAGGAACTCTAGACGAAACTTCAGACGTCTGTTTGAAAGGCCATTGCCGTAGTTCTTTTATCGTTGTCGTTGGAACGCGATTATTTATCGACCCTACTGCGATTTCTCAATGAAATAATTGGCTTTTAATTGAGACGGCGATAGGCATTCCGTTGCTTCTTTCGCTTTGCGCGCTGCTGTGATGTTTAGATAGGTATTACGTTTGTTCGTATCCGTCTCACGATTTCTTATTAACAAAAAGAAAAACACAGTGTAAGAATGGAACGGAGCACAAAAACAGCCTGCACTTAGAAAAACCCAGGCTTGCGCACGTCTCTGTCACAAGTCACCTAATGCTGACGTATTGACGCATCCGTTTAGACATACAAATCTATTGTGTAAGCGCTTTTATCCAATGAGCACGACCACTTATTATGGAACGTTCATTTTTATCTAATATTTTTTTTCTATTTTCATTGACTTTGCTCTTTAAAATTAATTACGTGCTTGGTGACTTCTCCGTGCCGCCCTCCACTGCTGCGAGCCTTCCGTTACTGTTCACCTAATCCTTCATTTTGTATTTTTAATTCGTTTCGGAACGTATACGATATCGTCACACAGACACGCACCGGCTCACCGCTACGCGAAGGGAGGCACTTGTGCACAGACTTTTTTCATGGGAAGAGATGATTTGAGAAGGGGGCTTTGATTTCGAGGACATCGATGCAGCTGCATTCACAACAAATTATGTAACAGTTACATCTTAAGATGTCTAGCGTGACTTCACGCGGTGAGGGATTAAAATCGAGAGCTCGAAAACTTCAACAGAGTATTTTGTTTACTTCCAAAGGTTGTAGAGCGGCTGTCCGCTTATGGATGGTGACAGCGTGTGACACGATGGGGTTAGTAGATTCCGAATGAAATTCGGAGTTAGTTAATGTGTTGCCGAGTCATAGGTACGAGGGAAGTTGGAGCGAACTTGTTTTTGTAATCTGGCACGATGCATACACGATTCGAAGGGCCTGAATGGCAAGTTCCATTAATTTCGTTAGCTGTCGATTCCATAACTTGTGGCAGCAACGCATAGCTGTCAATCTGGAATATTTCAATAGCGTCTGCTTATAGTTAGGGAAAAAATTGTTTACAAGAGGATCCTAATAACTTAAATTCCCATTTATCTATCTCGAATTCTGTTACTCAACAGGCGAGACGCCACAGTCCCAGCATCCAAACGGTTCAAAAATAGAGCAGTACTTCATTGCGTACTTTTGTGTGCCAGATTAAAACCTTTTATGATCACACCATAAGTAGATTATTGCATCGTACTATTTTAACAGTTAGGTACTTTTGAAGTTCGTAAGATTTTTATATGGCCGAGTGTCATGTCGTATATCGCCTATTCGACACTAGTTTAATGCAGCCTTTGCTGAACTACCTGGTCGACTGCCATGTGTCTACAACGATTATGGTCGCCGCTATTCGAATGTTTAAGTGTTGCTTCAAGAATAGAATCGTTTTCGCATGTTCGTCCTTTTAGCTTCTCTGTGACAGCAGGCCATAGTTCAGGATTATCTGCCTTCCACAAAGGATTCCTACTCCACGCTGCTTGGCGTTGTCACGTCGAGGGGCAGCAGCATGAGCAGCGAAATAAAAAGATGGGTGGGTTCATATACTATGTGCTTGGGTTTGTCTGTTTTTGAATTGTTGTTTTGTATCGGCCGTCTGTCAACTAGTAGCGTTTTTAAGGGCTTTCAAGACGGCACAAAATGCCGGAGAACTGTTGTTTGTTATCATTTGACTGTTATTGCTGAAGTGCTTGACTCCAGCCCTCTGAATTCATCCTGAATGCTTGGGTATTTATGTATCGTTGATAGATATATTAACACATCTGTTCTATATAGTGACTGAACAACTATAGTATTGTGAACTTTTCAATGTTGAGGTTTGGAAATGTCCTTCTTTATTCATGCTCTACCCATCCATTAACTTGCAATTTGGCAAATTGGAATACAAATCCATTTGTCTTTTAGACAGCAAAACGGTCTTTGCTAGCTAATGTTACCGCATTCTACAAATGATTATACAGTAATTTCTAAGGAAAATATTGAATTGTCACCTCCGACTTCTCTGCGGTCGAATTTGGATATGCTTTTATTAAAATCTGGTCCATAGGCCGCTCATAGCTGAACGAAAAGCGCTCCAGGGTAATTACAGGACAAAACTCGACGGCCCCTTGATAAGTGTACCGTCAACAATATATTTGAATTTCGTGCAGAACCACTGTCTCAAGTAGTTCGACGAAAATGGGCGAGCAACATTTATCAATGCCATAAACAAAACGTGGACACGCACTGGATGAGAATCCGTAATGTCACACGTAAGAAGAACGTACGTACGTACGTACATACATACATACAAGACTGTCGCGTGCAGATCACTATTGTCATTGCGTATCTCGTGTCTTTTAGGTTTTGGTAGGCTACTCGGTCCTTGAAAAATGGTCTGCCACATGGTAAGATAGCGGCTCACATATAATAGACGGACTTCCATGGATCCAAATATTATGCATCGGTCGTGCACTAAGGCCGCTTACCAGCCACATCCGGTGGTTTTAACCTATAGTGACACTCTATATATTCGCGGCATGCGCGAATTCAGGGGGCATCTGTGTAAACGTCTGGAAGTGAGTCTGTTCCCTTTTGGCGCAACTAAAACCAACGCGAAATAGGGAAGGTGAAGTTTTTGCAGAGATCAGCAACAATTTGTAGAGACACCAGTTATGTTAATTGGGTGTATTGTAACATTATGCTACTGAATAAGCTACGAGGAGGGTGCAGGACTCAGAATGGTCAGGTCCCGAGCTAGATTTCCTAGGTAAAATTTTGCGCTTTTTTCACCCCTTCATAATCTAATATATATAATATATATAAAATATATATAATACTAGTTGATTTTTTTCATTTTCACTTCCAGGGTGTCACCAATGTGTAAAATCAATAAACGATGCGATTCGTCTTTTAATCAAATGTCCATAGAGTAAAATATTTTGTGTATGTAAGCAGTGATATTCTGTACGCCCGCTCATGCTGTCGCCGTGGTTATTGTTGGCTGGCCTGAGAGTAGTAGCATTTGGGTTTTTAGAATCCTTTTGTTTTCTGGTTACCACCGTCGCCCTCGACATCGACGTCTCTATTGCTGCTCTCAATGTTTCTGTTACCGCTGTGATTCAGAGTGATGCAGTTGGCAAGCGACGACCTCTGGTTGGCGACGCGTTCTTTCTCTGGCCATTTCGATCCGTCCGCTGCTGGGGACTTTATGCTGTAAGCACAATAATAATAATGAGTGTGTCGTATGTCGAAAGGTGCTACGACGAGCGAGGTATTGTGATCGTGACCGTTCGGTCGAGAGTCCGACCCCAATCGATATCAGCCGTGTCGATGGCAGTGGCGTCCTCCACCGCTCAGTTAGAACTACTCTGACTACTTTCGATACTTTTCGGCTTTTCCGCACTTCTCTCATTTCCTCTCCCTTCTGTCTGTACACGTTTGTGACTCCTGCTGACAATCTCCTTTTTTTCGTTCTTTCTGGTCTGCAGTACAACAACAACGACAACAACAACAACAAACAGTAGCTTAATACTGAGATCACACAGTAACAGCGGAAAGCCAGGCACGGATGGATGGTGGCTTAGTAAAGAGTTTTCCGTTGTACCATTACTTCTCTATTGCTGATTCTGTCAGTGTCTATGCCGTCTTTTGTCTATAGCTGTCGCTGTCATTTAGCTATGCTGTAGAGTCTTTATTGATGCAGCATATATATATATCTATACGTGTATGTAACGATAATCGTGGCTGCAGTGATTGCGGCGGCGTTGTCATGATCTAACCGTCTATGCACAGGACAAGTCCCAGCTACGCTGGTCTGTTCCATCGTTTCGTCGGAGGATTCGTCGTGCTCTCTGCGCTCGTCGGCCCGCGTCGCTCTGTAGTCGCGGCCACCTCGGTGGTCTTACTTACACACAGTGCGGCTGCCATTGGTGCTATCGCCTTTACTGATGGTCTGCCTCTATGCTATTTGATGCTGACGGCAGTGGTACGATGGCCCGCCCTCCTTGGTCAGCGGGATCTTCACATGGATGCCCCTCTACGAACGGCTCCGTCAGCCGATCAGGCAGCAGCGGCCGCAGGTGTAGCAGGCGTGAGCAAGCAATTCTAGGGGCAATGGCCGATCGTAGCTGCTCTAGCCCCATTATCATGCGTGCATAGTGGTGTGAGTGCAAACGCGCGTTCGTACCGCTTGTATATTGCATATAATTACATATATATCGCATATTGCGCATACATTATATAATACGCGCGTGCTGTGCCGAATGAGGCATTTGGGACCCAATCAGTGTGATTATCAGCATCGTGGTCGTTCATTGGTACCTTCTATACAGCACGTAGAAAAACGGAAAGCCTTTGATCCTATGATGGCAGCGCCTTCTGCTTGCTACATGGACCTTTGCGGCAGGTCGGCCAACCAATTGACGCCTTCGCTTCGTCACTACTGCCTAATGCTGCTGCTACTGCTCGTTTCTCCGTCATTGTTCTGTCACCGTGATCAGGGGAACAGCGGCGACGGCCGCTGTTGCCATTATTGATCTGGCATAAGCTAGCTCACCTGAGCTACACATCTAGCCACCCATTTGACTGAAACCTATCGCTACGGCTGCTGTTGTCCCCCGGGAACAGCCGAGCCGGGCGGCTCTACGAAATCTACGTCTGCTGCAGAACTTCGTCTAATTCGCCGTTTTCGTTGATCTCCGTCAATTTTTTCTTGGCGGAAAGTAGCCACGGAATCAGCAGCCACCCTGGTGGCTCTAAGTGGTTCTGCTGTTATTTCTACTGCAGCTTCAGCCGGTCGTCTCCTCCTAGTGACTTCACGGACGATCTTTAGTTGAACGATAACACCGGCGAAGACTATGATGACCAAGATGATGTCTTCATCGACGCCTTCCACTGCGTTCTCTCCTTCCATTTCGTTTTCTTCACCTACAAGCTCCTTGCTGGCTAGGCGATGGTTAGGTGGGATGGGGAAGGTAGAAGATATTCATAGTTCCTCATCGGTAGAGGGCCATGCTAGCAGAGATGCGATGACGAAAGCGCCGCCGCCCCTGCTGACTACTCGAACGGGCTATTACCTAAATTGCTTCTTTTGTACGATCACGAGCCCACCTTGGATGAAGAAAGGTAACACTTGAACTTAGCTCGACGGGAGATGATGTCTCTGTTCCCAAAGGCTTCGTGCCGTCGTCCAGCGGCATCGCGGCAATCGGTGACTACTGACGCCGACACTTATGCACCGCTCTATCTGTGGCCACGGCGCGAATGTAACGACCCGCAGAAGCCCCTTCTATTACTGCTGCTGCCGCAGTGACTATAATTCGTCAGTTCGATCATATGACCCGACGAAAGGCGAGCGCCCGTTCAAACGTCGAATGACCACCATAACCGTAATGAAATGGGCTCGCACGCGTCTTTTGAGATTGCACGCTTTGTCAACGATACATGACGTGTATATGATGACACTCTGTCAAGACCGATGGTATTGTATCAACAATAATTACGAAAATAAACGAATGTATAATAGCCAGGCCCTCTTTTCTGTGCCTTCGATCATTGCTTGAAAAAGCACTCATCCAGGTGTACATGTGTTAATACAAATAACATGTACAACAAATTATGTTTATGTGATTCGTGCTCGTAAACGGACAGAGCACCCCTGTCGAAATCATGTTTTCCTAGATCTCACTTACGCCTAGGGCAAACGCATTCATTATAACTATATTGATTAGTAAATATAGGGAAATTTGCAAACCATTTCAAAGAGAACCAAAGATTACCCTAAGTAAATCTCAGCTTAATGCTTACACTTACTATTAGCAAACAGTGTCCAGTTTAACAAATCGGTGCGCCCTTTAAGGCCCTTAAATCAGGACAATATCGTTATACCACATATACTGCATAGCATTTCTGTTCAGTAAATAGGGTGGTGCGGGTAAAGATTCGCACCCTTACCGCCTCCTTAACGGTTCAGGTAGTTCGTAGAATTCCCTTCACGACTGACCACTTCGACTCGTATTCTTAATGCTTTTCCTTGAATTAATTTTATAATCTTCAAGTTAACATAATTCCCATCGACTAGGGCTTTACCAAGTTAGAACTTAGGTGTCGAAAAAAAAACATTATTCAAGGGTGGGTGATGAACTGAACATTAGATCTAAATTGATTGTTTGTTGTTTTGCTCTTATTGCAGGTCATTCTCAAATCAACTTCTCGCTATTACAAAGGTGAGCTGCTTGAGCCAGATTTGGGTTTCCATGCTGTGAAGCCTGGTTTACCTAGCTCATAATTATGTTTCACTTACGTAGGGATTCAGAAGTGGGTGCGAGATCGCGGTACAGTCCTAGTTAAAGATCATATATCCATAAGATATGCATACAGACATCAAAACGATATGTTTCGGGAGCGTACGCTGCGGAGCACTCGAACGTCTGCTGGTGCTCTGAGAACTCCATGTCGGCCTACCTTTATTCTAATCTGAGTGTTGATACAGTTTGTCTGTTCGAAATGATTCAACAGCCAACTAGAAACGAGGTACGATACGATGGATAATTGTATCTCATTCGAATATATTGTACTGATTGTAGGAGATAGATACATTTGACGCTTTCACCAATGGCCTGACCGATAGACGGGGTCAGTTGCTCGAGCGACAGCCATTCTGCATTCGTAGTTGGTTCACGTCGCGTGCTTCTTGATTTGCTTCATTCGGTGATGTGGGTTGTCATTGTGTCGAATAGGCCCCGTTTGGGCGTTGATCGGCTATAGAACACCATCACGCTTCCGAGAAGGAACAAGTTGATTGCCGGCGTAATCCACTTAATCTTCTGCAGTTCTGTACTGCTGCTTCACATGCCTTCATGCGCACAAATAGATTGTGCGGTAGCGGAGTTCGATTCTGGTGTTTTTGCTGCTGATGCTACGACTTCAGACGATGGAAAATACTTGCTGTTACTCGTCGAAATCATCAAATCGATAAAGGAACGATATGACTCAGCGAGTACCGAACTGCTCGTTGCGAGCTAGTCACAGAACGGTAGTGATCTATCGGGCCACGATCGCATCGAGCACCCCGCACTACTTCAGTGATGGTTAGTTGTTGATCTATTGTATGTATTAGTCGATAGAATACAATGTACTGGCAATGCACGCAGCGGTAACATCATCTTTCAATATTTCATCTTCTGTTTGGGGTAAATCTAATCATACTTCAAAAATATGGCCACAAATAGCCGCTAATCGCCCGAATTGTACTCGTCATCGTTGGACAGTGACGCAGTTAGTGCAGCTACCCCGGTTACTACTGTGACTGCCGACGCCGCGTGCACAGGCGCTGATGATACGATACCTGTGAGTACAATATGTTTACATACAAGCTGACTATGTATTATCTACTTCCTCGTAATTCGATTGTGTCTGCCAAACGCCTCTACGTGTTGAGGTCGTCCGCTCATCTCGAGCTCGTTCTAAGGTTTGCACGTAATTGGGCCTATGTAGATAAATGCAGGCGTACGTATGCAGAACCCTATGCTTTGACAGTTATCGTTCGCTGGGAAGATCTTGAAAAAAGCTAGATTTTGCTCAGAGTTGCACTTCCGGTGTGTGTATATAACTAGTTACTAGCTGTCACCAAGTGCCGAACGGTGCCCCGCGCAGTTACTTCTCTCGGCAGTCGAATTTCGAGTGTCGGTACTTTTTTTCATACAAAACTTGTCGTTTCGAAGGAATTCTAGCTCGGACAACAAATTCGTTTCTAGTAAAAACGACCTAACTTACAAAATCTCTGATCCGATCCAGTCAACTTCTGTATTATAACCAACTTCATGAGAGCGCACTCATCGAGTGAATTCTTAAGCTTTCACTCCTGGTCGCGCCAATCGTATCACCAAATGTCGTTTCTTTTTTGTGCTTGCCATCATCCGAATTCGCCATTCCCATTCTAGCCTTCGGAGCAGGCAGGATATCTTTAGCGAGCTCAGTGAGTCAGGCTGTTTTCTTTGAATGCGTCGTTGCGCTCTTCGATTAGCCAGTGCTAGACTTTCGTGCATATTGGTGAACTGTTTCGCCATCGTCAACTCTATCGCATCGGTTAGCCGTGGGATTTTTGTCCTGGTAAGTTTCTCAATTTGCCGTAGTTCGTCTCTAACGGGCAGCCCCGTGTATATCTACTTCTGCAATTGGTTTCGTTAGTCCGTAGTGCTTCTGACCTAAACGAGCGCGAAAATTTTTCGTGTCCATTATGCCTGAAGCCTATGCTAAGATCATTTACTCTATAGCGCATTTCATATAAACAAATACACGCACATTAAGAAATCTGTACAATTGTTACAAAAGTCTTCGCCTGACTGATGGACGATGATTATTATTATTCTCCCTTATTATTCCCCCCCTCCCCTTATATTTCTCCCCTCTTATTATTATTATGATTATTATTAGACTCTCGATGTGCCTACAACGGCTACCAAGATCATGCTAAACGCTATACTACCCCCACTATTTCAACCACTATAGTTGCTATTATTGCGGCTAATTCGAAACTTGCGCCTGCCACTTCAGTGCGTCCGGGCAGGCGTCACACACCCTTTCTCTCGCTCCCACACTTACCGAATGCTTATTCCCGTCGACACGTTAAAAGCAGCGGCCTGGACAGTCCTTCGGCGTTTGCCTTCGGACCACCCAGCCTTGGAGAGGACAACGAACACGACCCCCGCCGCCGCTGACTATGACTGCGCGATCTTTTATTGAATCATCACCATCGACCAAGAGCCACCCCACGAACATCAAAATCACAGCTCCGACGACCTTCGAAGCTTTGAAGTTCATCGGCGCCCGCGCCACACGCCAATCAGCTAACCTAGCAATCGAACGAGCAACCGGTAGAGTCGCCGACTCGAACCCTGTTGTGGGGTTCTGACTATCATTTTCTGCAGCCAGCTTACTTCCCTCCTGAACAAAAGAACACCGACTGATTCTCTGGCTCAGGCAACGGTGAGAGAAAAACCTCGTTCATTCTTTCGCTCCGTTTCTCTTGTGCGAGAACGTCCCGCACAAGTTTTTTTCTGCGCGGCCCATTTTTGCGTCGTTCCCATGAAAAAGTACCCATCGAGAGCGATGAATCGTCGGACCGTGAGCGGGTGCTCACGTTCTCGCGTTGGGTGGCGTTATCAGCGACGTTCTACTGTGCTTCTGTCCATGACACTATTACTTCTATTAGGCACGGCAATTGCTAGTAGTACCTCTGTTTGCCATAGGCGACAACAGTTCGAACGCCGCAGACACTGTCGCTGCCGTATCCAAGCGACCTACATAGATCTATGCACATCGATATATATATATATATATGCATACGATGTGTACATACATCTGTAGAAGTTGGTTACATGCGAGGACTCCGTTCACTGGTCTCGTAGCGGTAGTTCGCTCTGAACAACGACGACGACGACGACGACGACGCTCTTGTTTGCCTCTGCTGCTGTTGTTTTAGTTCTTCCTATCGCCACTGCTGTTATCGGAACGGCAAGAGACGGGAACTGGGAGCTGGCCGAGTATAACAGTTCCTTTATAGCTATGGCCGCACACAGAATACACAGTTATAGCTGCGTCGGGATCTGGCTATGTCGGATTTCCCCGCGGGGGATCTGTCAGCGAGAGGATTTGGATCAAGGCGGGATACCATTACCTAACGCTGTGTGCCGCCGTTTTTTTCTTGCTCGCTTGGATTAACATCTTGATCTCCACCAACGTCAAACAAATCTAGCGCACTGATCGAGGTGGACCCCTCATTTGTGGACAAAGTACCAATTCTGACGTCATTTTTTCTCCGTATGATTTATCCAGCCTGTTAGTTGTAATAACTTTTGTATATATATATATATATATATATATATATATAATTTGTGTGTGTGTGCGGCGGTACCTCACAGTCTATCGTTTTCGAAAGAAGGGTGAATCAAAATTGAATACTGATCCCCAGATGTAAATTGTCGACATTATCCTACACTAATAAGTTCCTTTGGCAATGTCTAACTAGTCGGTTTCATCTGTACAGCACGTGTACAGTCGTAGCAGAAAAGCAATGATACTTAGAGGTTCGGAAACTTTTTTGTTCATTTTTAACCTATACTCTAATGACTTATACTTTAAATATTCGCTTTGTTACTTGTACTATGAAAACGTGCAGTGGAATCGTCAGACGTCGCCGTTGTTATTAGAAAATGATAGAAGGCGTGATATAAACGATCTCATCATTTTAGACCCAGATTCGGATAGAAAATCTGAACCCAAAATGTTGTGAGGACGAAGATCTTATTTAATGAACGCTGTATGTGTAGCGGGATATCGCGCCAGGACACTCGCGATTTTGGTGACCCAAGTCATTCTTCTGCTTGTTGGAGTTGCAGCAGTAGCAGCAACAACAACGGCGTTAGACGTGTGAGTAGGAGATAGCAATGATAGAGGCCAACGAAGAAAAAGGACAATGCCGGCCCTGAACGAGCTCTAATGAGCCCACCTTCCTTTCTCGTGGGCTGACAAAGCGTCCATTGGATTCGATGGCGGCCTAAGCAGGCTTCCTAGGCAGGAGAATCATTACTGCCTTATGAGTATGCCACGAATATGGCCGTACACATCAGCCGTCAGCACCGACCGGTTCGAAACAAGATATTGTCGATCTATAGCTATATTGCTAGTGTATTGCCATAGACTTCATTTCCCCTGACCCCCTGTCTCGCCCCATCTTCCCTTACGGCTTGCGCTGTAATCGGCTAGCGACTAGCGATCGACAAGACCAATCCGACAGCTTCAATTGAAGACTTGTGTTCGCAGCATGTTCAACGTCCATGTCCTGTAGGTCGGCTTTGTTACTTGATGGCTTGGGCGGCAGCAGGACCTCAGAACCTTCGAGCGACTCTCGACTCGGGTCGCACAGACAGAGTACATAGGAGGCAAATGTCATCGAGAGACTTTCGACCGTTTGGGAGAGGCCACTACCGTCGTCGAAATCTCACTCTTCGATTGTTCACTGCGGGAATCCGATTTTTCTCGTCGTCTCTGTGCGCACAGAGGTGAGCAACTCTGCACTCGCCTATGCTTGCTATATACTGAATGATATATTTGGTAGAAAAAAATGCACTGACCGTTTCTGGCAAAATTAGCCATAATGTTTGTAATTTCGCATTTGAAAAGTACACCAGCAGTGTTTCACGCGATTTGCGTGTATCAGGGTGTT